GGGGGGGGGTGCAACCCGAGCTGAGTGAGGGCTCCTTCGTGGCTGATCCGCGCTCTGCGTGTTTTATGAATGTTTCGGGAGAGCCCTTGCTCAACAGGATGATTCCTGACAAGTGAGGCAGCAAATGCTGGCCGTTTAATGAGCTGCAAGCTTCTGCGCGCCTCTTTAGGGGGCCGATACTTTCCCACAGAGCACTTTACATGGCTGGGACCCAGCCACAATGGGCGACAGACCCGTGACCAATCGTCACTTTCACTTGACTCATCCACACGCGACCTCACCACGATTTTTCACTGTGCGGATGAACTTTAGGAACCATTTCACATGGAAAAGGCTTGGGCAAGGGTCAGTTGCCCTTTTGTATGGCCATAAAGCAAGGCTCTGTGCGCCAGTCTTTTCTTCTGTCTCACATTCCAAGTGAATTTCGGGACACCCTTTAAAGCCCTTGACTGAAAAATAAAGCAGTGAATGGAACTGACTTTTATAGACTCATTCTAGCTCATCTTCCCGTATAACCCTGTCCACCTGAAAGGGGATTTAGTGGATGCGCTGAGCGCACACAGGGTTTGCTGAATACATAGGGCCCATTATCAACTGTGGGGATTGTTTATTAACCAGGACTGATACACTACTATTTTGGAAGTGACCTATTAATTGTCCATTTAACTAGAGTGTATTGATTCAAATAGAAAAATAGAAACCATGACTAAACCTTTTACTCGCTCCTTCAAGGTGGTCTCCAATGAGGGCAATTGAAAACTGTTGTGCAAATTAAGGAGACATTTATCACCATATATTTGAGTATCAGGAAAGGACTGCTGGAGTCGAGACTAAAGACCCAATTATCTGACACCATAGCATAGTGGCATCTCTGTGGAATTCAATCTTTAGTGTTGTTTTCCAGGGGTGGAGATGAAAAGAGGTCCCCTACCTAGTTTCAGTTATTTCACCTTGATGCAATGCTGGTCTTCTGCTTTAGAAAACCTCTGAGAATGGAGTTTAGGTAAGTGGCAATGGACCAAAAAATTCCATGTAACAGGTGGAGCTTCACGTCTGTGTTAGTGGGTGTTTGTAGTCATTGTCTAGTAGTATTTCAATAATAGTCTCTAAATCATGAAAGTCCTCCAGTGCCGAGGCCCTTTTAGTAGGTCGAGCACATAAACGTAGTTCTAAAGACATTTCCTAGATAACTTCATCTTCTCAGTTGCTTGAAAATTTACTTTAAGCAAATATCCTTTTCTTCCATCTGCTTCACACTTCTCCCCACTTTATGCTGTTGGAGTAACTGTAAATTGTGTCGATCTCTGGAGCCTTGGGAAGCCTCATGCTTATCTTTTTTATTTAATGAAGCAGCTCAGATTGAGGATAGAGAATGCTGTACTGGGTTTGTTTTTATTTCTAAAGTTGGCGTTTTAAAACAGTTTTAGAGATACCACAAGTGTTTTTAAGTAACCTTTGGTGTCTCATTAGTTATAAATCTGAAATGAATTCCTTATTTTCTTGTTTATAATGTTCGTCGTACTGGCAGCAAATAATAATGAAATGGTGGATTTATGTTGTCAATAAAGACTTTTACATAAATAACCATGATGCCAAGGAGCAGTTAATAAGGCTTATGTCTGCACAGTAATCATTTTTATTTAAGGCATTTACTAGATTTTTCCCCCTTTGCTTCTCTTTTTAATAATAAGAACGATTTTTATGCCCCAGCATTTAATCTTTTTTCCATTGTTCAGAAGAAGGAAAATGAACTGTCCAAGTAATCTCATAATATGTTTCAGGTTGGACAGCCAAAGTTAAGGTTTATACTACAATGTGTAATAAGCGATGAAATCAACAGCCCTCATTACTGTTTCACTATATTCACTTCACTATTTCCCAGAGTGTAGGATCAGATCAGCACGCCCATAACTAGCACATGAAATATCATTTTGACTCTTTTAACATGATTCAGTTGTTTATAGTTGGTTTAGTTTTTCTTGTTAACTTTTAGATTTATGATGGACTCGTTGCAATGTGGAAACAATCATTCATCCAGCGCCCTTCCCACATACAATAAATAGTTTAATAGGCTTTTTAAGCACAACCCTTACAGTGGGGAAAAATTAAAAGGCAGTGGTAAAAGCTCTCCCCTCCCTCAAAGCAGTGTAAGGAAAATCTTTGATATTACATCCATAAGGTTCTTTTCAAAATAACACATTTCTCAGCTAAAAGGAAAGGAAAAGTTGTGGAAATTATGCAGAGAATGACCTTAAGAAAAACTACCTGACAAAAGTACAGGAGTCTTAATTATGTAGAATAGCTAATTGAATTCATCAGCTAATTATTTTGTTTTGTCTTTGAGTACTCAACTTGAATTTGACCTTTTGGGAATTTTTATGTATTAAAAGACAAAGTTTAAATGTGGAGCAGCAATATAAAAATATGCGCAGGGAAATATTCTGGGACAAACTGCTCTGCCTTTTTCTTTTTTAATAGTCTACCCTTGAGATCATTTTGCTCTCTTCCCTTCTTTGTTAAAACTTAAAAGAACATAATATTCTCTCCAAATTTGAATTTAGGAGTTTGTTGAAGGCAGCAGGGAAGGGACATTATTGTTATTGTGCATGTAGGTTGGTCATATGAGTGGTGCTGTCAACGAGGGGCAATGGTGTAGTTAGTATTTTTTTTTTTTTTAATTCTCACCTGAGGATATGTTTTTATTGATTTTAGAGATAGAGGAAAGGTGGAAGGAGGGCAGAGAGAAACACTGATATGAGAGAGAAACATCGATTGGCTGTCTCCCATACCTGCCCCTACCGGGCATCAAACCCACCACCTAGGTATGTGCCCTGACCAGGAATCAAACCTGCAACCTTTTGGTGTGTGGACGACGCTCCAGCCGATTGAGTCCCCAGGCCAGGGCTCTGGTTAGTATTGTCGCCACCTGACCTGGCTGTGCTCGCAGCTGGAGTTGCTCAGGAAACTCACAATACCTATGGAAGTCCATTCAAAGCTGCATAAAAGTTTCTTTTATAAGGATTTTTCTTTAGAACTCTCATATCTTCAGAGGGATGCAGCATTGTGTTCAGATAGAGAAAGAAGCCTAATTATTTTGTTGATAACATAATTGAGTTTGTGCAATAACTTGAATGTAGGTTTTGACTTCCCAGTAGTGAAGGGAGGGGTGCTCCATCGATAAATGACACTCGGTCAACCAGGAAGAATGTTTGAAAGAGTCAGACTCAAAGACAATAGATTTTCCAAGTTGATGGCTCTATTCAGCATTTCTCCAGAGGCAGTGAAAGTATATGAGTAATGTTCCTGAAATGGAGTTCTCTTCTCCCCAACTGTTCATAAGTAGTGGGCAGTGGGGGATGGGGAAGGGGGGAACTACTTAGTGGTATAGGGTGCTCGTCCCTGATCTTGTCTACAACCTTTGCCTGAACATACATAAAATCTAACAAGGCAGAGAATAAAAGTCATGATTTTAGATTCCCTCAACCTAATGCACAAGTACGGAATAGGGGAGTGAGAGAATTGGACAAACAGAACGAAGTAGGAAAGGATTGTACTAATGGCTCTGTGTGTGTCTACAGAATGGTGCGGGGATGTTGAATTGTGCTTTTAGAAATAGAATATCCAGAACAAGAGGATAATAGTCCTGTTGGACTCTGTAGTGGTCAGACCACCTATACCTGTTCAGCTCCGGAGGCCACTTTAAAAGGCACATTGAACAGATGTGCATATAAAAACCAGGTCAGAAGGTAGTCAGCAACTAAAATGGTGAAGGAGCTATATGCCTGGTCAGGAATTTTTGAAAGCAAAAATTTTGAGTATGTTTGGCCAGGAGAAGAGAAATAGTAGGGAGAACGTGAAGGTTATCTTTAAATTAGATACACCATATTTATTATAGATATAAAGGAAAGACTTGGAGCCAAATGAGTAGAGTTTACTGAAAATTGGGCTTAATATAAGGGAAATTTTTTTAGAAAATCAAAC